CAACAAAGGCTCATTCCTAACAGCGTGCTTCAGCCGCACCAAACCTCACAAAGAATAATATTCAGGGCCTACCTTGGCTCCTCCCACCCTCAACCAGTATATATACAAATACTGTTTCCTTGGAATTTCTCTTACTTGATACAGCTATCATGCTGTGACGGTTCCACCTGAAGATGGAAGCTTGTGTTGCCTCCGAAACGTCGTGATTTATTATTTCATTTCTATTATTTCTTCTATTATTTTTATTATTCATTTTTTACCTACGTGACTTTACCGAAAAAACCCAAGAGTACAAACATAATTACCAGAGCCATGTTTGTTTGCATGTTCACCACAATAACCACGTGTGGTTAATGCGCCAACCTGATGCGGTGTTTGGACATCTTATTGCCAGAAAGGGTAAAAACACCCAATCTCATCTCTTGACTTGAAGCTTTCGTGACTGCAGGAATTCATATTCTTTGGGTCTTTCGGTAAAGTCACGGAGCTAGGTTCAAAGAAAATACAAAAAAACAAACTACGACGTCCTGATGGCGACCGCTTGTCTAGCGATCGAAACGTCGTAGTTATTTTGCTATTTTTATTATTTCTTTGATCCTATCTACGTGACTTTACAGAATGACCCAAAGAATACCCATTCTTATCGTTCCATGCAACAACCGGTTAGTTCCGAACTCGTAAACCGATTGGCCGTGCCTGGGTGGTGGTGCTGGTGGTGGGGAGCGGTGGTGTAGCGATTAGCGCTACGAACCCGGCGACCCGAGTTCAATTCCCGCTCACACGACTCAGCCTCAAATTAGTATCTGGTGTAGCGGTGTGTTAGTAAACATCGCTAGCACTCGGGAGACAAAGGCGGTCGGGCGTGGTGTTGGCCACCCACCCCCTCGTGTGCTGTTCAGGCCTTCACAGGTGCTGCTCGCTAACAGCACTTGTTGTTCAAGGCTTTGTGGTGGAGAGTTAACGACACCACATTTATATTAACGCGCGATCTAAACACCAAACCAAAAAAAGACTATCATGGCCTTAATTCTATATCCATTATATACTGTGGAACAAATACAATTGTCCCTGGGTAGTCAGTGTTATTTCCTAATTGCTTACGCCTCAAAAGTACAGAAAATAGCTATTATTATTGCTTTTGTGACCAGGACAGTGATATTTTGAAATGTACCTATTTTCGATGAGAAAACGTGCGCATGCGTGTGTTGTTCACAAAGTCCTGGTCAACAAAAGCAAAGTTTGTGGGGAATAATATCCATACTCCAAATGGAATAATATCCATTTTCTATACTTTTAGGCAAAATCTATTAAGAAAACAACACTCAGTACCCAGGAACAAAAATTGTGTTGCAGAGTGAATTAGTGGTGGCCTCTGTCCCCCCCCCCCCCCCAGGTGACTGGGGCCAGACGGATCAGGCGCAGCAGAGGAGGCGTGGCGACGCATCGCTGCGGTGCCGAAGTCTCCTCCTTCAAATCGATCTCTGTGCGAGTCTATGCCTCAGAGTGAGTCTACGGCTCTCAGTGTGTGAGTCTATGGCTCTCAGTATGAGTCTATGGCTCTCAGTGTGAGTCTATGGCTCTCAGTGTGAGTCTATGGCTCTCAGTGTGAGTCTATGGCTCTCAGTGTGTGAGTCTATGGCTCTCAGTGTGTGAGTCTATGGCTCTCAGTGTGTGAGTCTATGGCTCTCAGTGTGTGAGTCTATGGCTCTCAGTGTGTGAGTCTATGGCTCTCAGTGTGAGTCTATGGCTCTCAGAGCGAGTCTATGGCTCTCAGAGCGAGTCTATGGCTCTCAGAGCGAGTCTATGGCTCTCAGTGCGAGTCTAGGGCTCTCAGTGCGAGTCTATGGCTCTCAGTGTGAGTCTATGGCTCTCAGTGTGAGTCTATGGCTCTCTGTGCGAGTCTATAGCTCTCTGTGCGAGTCTATGGCTCTCAGTGTGTGAGTCTATGGCTCTCAGTGTGTGAGTCTATGGCTCTCACTGTGAGTCTATGGCTCTCAGTGTGTGAGTCTATGGCTCTCAGAGTGAGTCTATGGCTCTCAGTGTGAGTCTATGGCTCTCAGAGTGAGTCTATGGCTCTCAGTGTGAGTCTATGGCTCTCAGTGTGAATCTATGGCTCTCAGTGTGAGTCTGTGGCTCTCAGTGTGAGTCTGTGGCTCTCAGTGAGTCTGTGGCTCTCTGTGTGAGTCTATGGCTCTCACAGTGAGTCTACGGCTCTCAGTGTGTGAGTCTGTGGCTCTCAGTGTGAGTCTATGGCTCTCAGTGTGAGTCTATGGCTCTCAGTGTGAGTCTATGGCTCTCAGTGTGAGTATATGGCTCTCAGTGTGAGTATATGGCTCTCAGTGTGAGTCTATGGCTCTCAGTGTGAGTCTATGGCTCTCAGTGTGAGTCTATGGCTCTCTGTGTGAGTCTATGGCTCTCAGTGTGAGTCTATGGCTCTCAGTGTGAGTCTATGGCTCTCAGAGTGAGTCTATGGCTCTCAGAGTGAGTCTATGGCTCTCAGAGTGAGTCTATGGCTCTCAGTGTGAGTCTATGGCTCTCAGTGTGAGTCTATGGCTCTCAGTGTGAGTCTATGGCTCTCAGTGTGAGTCTATGGCTCTCAGTGTGAGTCTATGGCTCTCAGTGTGAGTCTATGGCTCTCATTCTGAGTCTATGGCTCTCAGTCTGAGTCTATGGCTCTCAGTGTGTGTCTATGGCTCTCAGAGTGAGTCTATGGCTCTCAGTCTGAGTCTATGGCTCTCAGTCTGAGTCTATGGCTCTCAGTCTGAGTCTATGGCTCTCAGTCTGAGTCTATGGCTCTCAGTCTGAGTCTATGGCTCTCAGTCTGAGTCTATGGCTCTCAGTCTGAGTCTATGGCTCTCAGTCTGAGTCTATGGCTCTCAGTCTGAGTCTATGGCTCTCATTCTGTGTCTATGGCTCTCAGAGTGAGTCTACGGCTCTCAGAGTGAGTCTATGGCTCTCAGAGTGAGTCTATGGCTCTCAGTGTGTGAGTCTATGGCTCTCAGTGTGCGAGTCTATGGATCTCAGTGTGCGAGTCTATGGCTCTCAGTGTGTGTCTATGGCTCTCAGAGTGAGTCTATGGCTCTCAGAGTGAGTCTATGGCTCCCAGTGTAAGTCTACGGCTCTCAGTGTGTGAGTCTATGGCTCTCTGAGTGAGTCTATGGCTCAGTGTGTGAGTCTATGGCTCAGTGTGAGTCTATGGCTCTCAGTGTGAGTCTATGGCTCTCAGTGTGTGAGTCTATGGCTCTCGGTGTGTGAGTCTATGGCTCTCAGTGTGTGAGTCTATGGCTCTCAGTGTGTGAGTCTACGGCTCTCAGTGTGTGAGTCTATGGCTCTCAGTGTGTGAGTCTACGGCTCTCAGTGTGTGAGTCTACGGCTCTCAGTGTGTGAGTCTACGGCTCTCAGTGTGTGAGTCTATGGCTCTCAGTGTGTGAGTCTACGGCTCTCAGTGTGTGAGTCTATGGCTCTCAGTGTGTGAGTCTATGGCTCTCAGTGTGTGAGTCTATGGCTCTCAGTGTGTGAGTCTATGGCTCTCAGTGTGTGAGTCTATGGCTCTCAGTGTGTGAGTCTATGGCTCTCAGTGCGAATCTATGGCTCTCAGTAAGAATCTATACATCTCTGTGCGAGTCTATGGGTATAAAAACTATTTATTTGTTTACGTTACCAGGTAAGGCACACCGAGCTAAGTAGATGGTTTTCAGAAGCTACCTGGCCATCTCAAATGACAGCTCAACCAAGTGGCTGACATCTTCACCATCATCATCATCATCACCACGTGTGAATGTAGAACACGGCAGCCAAATCATCATCTAGATGTGTGATAATCCACGCGACCACGGGTAGCGAGAGAGACGCAGACTCCAACTACACAGTAGAAGCAGCCGGCGTCATCACAGGGTGTGGATCGAACCCACGACCTCCTGCATACCAGGCGAGGTAGTTAACACCTCGCCATACAACAAAGATCCCCCGTGTAGCCTCCATCAGGCTGTTGGGGCAAGTGCTGTTCGTAGCGGGGAGCTGCAGCAGCGCCCTATGACAACTACAACTCCCCACGTGACCACAACAACAACAACACTCCCCACGTGACCACAACAACAACAACACTTCCCACGTGACCACAACAACAACACTCCCCACGTTGCTCACAACAACAACACTCCCCACGTGACCACAACAACAACACTCCCCACGTGACCACAACAACAACACTCCCCACGTTGCTGACAACAACAACACTCCCCACGTGACCACAACAACACTCCCCACGTGACCACATCAACAACAACACTCCCCACATTGCTGACAACAACAACACTCCCCACGTGACCACAACAACAACACTCCCCACGTTGCTGACAACAACAACACTCCCCACGTGACCACAACAACACTCCCCACGTGACCACATCAACAACAACACTCCCCACATTGCTGACAACAACAACACTCCCCACGTGACCACAACAACAACACTCCCCACGTGACCACAACAACAACACTCCCCACGTGACCACAACAACAACAAAACAACACTCCCCACATTGCTGACCACAACAACACTCCCCACGTTGGTCACAACAACAACACTCCCCACGTGACCACAACAACAAACTCCCCACGTGACCACAACAACACTCCCCACGTTGGTCACAACAACAACACTCCCCACGTGACCACAACAACAAACTCCCCACGTGACCACAACAACACTCCCCACGTTGGTCACAACAACAACACTCCCCACGTGACCACAACAACAACACTCCCCACGTTATGCACAACAACACTCCCCACGTTATGCACAACAACACTCCCCACGTGACCACAACAACACTCCACACGTTGCTGAACACAACAACAACACTCTCCACGTTATGCACAACAACACTCCACGTTATGCACAACAACAACACTCCACGTTATGCACAACAACAACACTCCCCACGTTGCTGACAACAACAACAACAACAGAGAGGAGGGCTCGCGGCCCGTGTCGCTACCCGCGGGGAGATGTCCGCCCTTGAGGTCGGGGTGCTCCTTCGGAGGCGAGGCCATGGCAAGCAGCAGCAGCAGCACGACACGCAGAGACCACTCTACACTAGGCTCTACACTCTACTAGTGTGCAGTCTACACACTCTACGAGTCTTCACACCCTACGTGTCTTCACACTCTACGAGTCTCCACTCTGCAGTCTTCACTGCGCCAGAGACAACTCCTCCAGACCATCAACTCCGCGTCTTCCTTAAACAATGGCGGCTCTCACCCCCCCCCGCTCGCCCCTCCCCTCCACCACCCCCACTAGCCCCTCCCACTGCAGATCGGACGCTCCCATTGGTCGACAAATTGCGGATCACCGGTTCGCCCCTCCCCTCCACCCCGATTAGCCCCTCCCACTGCAGATGGGACGCTCTCATTGGTCCGCACAGAGTAAATCCCCCACTCACCCATCCCTTCTGTCCCCCACTCTCCCCTCCCCTCGGACTGCCAATGGGAGACTCCCATTGGTCCACAATGCGGGGAGGGGGGAATCCACCACTCGCCCCTCCCCTCCACCCCTCATCCCCGTCCCTCACTGCAAAAGGAACGCTCCCATTGGTCCCGGCGAGCGCCACGTGTCGCAAGATTAGCCAATCGAAAGCGGAGGGAGTTTGCTTTGCGGAGTGCGGGGCGTGGGTTGGTGGGGAGGAGGGGCCACGTGGCGCAATCCTTAGGTTTCAATGACACGTGGCACTTACACAACATCCCGTACCTATAGGGTTCAATGTTAATCACCGGGCTCCCATAGGGTTCAATTAAAATCACTGATAGTCCCATAAGGTTCAGTGTAAATCACTGAGGCTCCCATAGGGTTCACAGTTAATCAGTGAGGCTCCCATAGGGTTCACTATTAATCCGTGAGGCTCCCATAGGGTTCACTGTTAATCAGTGAGGCTCCCATTCGGGTCTGTGTTAATGACTGAGGCTTAGGGCTAAGTGTTTATCACTGAAACTCTCATAGGGTTCAGTGTTAATGTCTGCGGCTCCTATATGATGCAGTGTTATTGAGGCCCCCATAGGGTTAAATGTTAATCACTGAGGCTCTCATAGGGTTCGGTGTTAATCACCGAGACTCCCATAGGGTCAAGTGTTAATCATTGAGGCTCCCATAGGGTTCACTGTTAATCACAGAGGCTCCTATAGGGTTCTCTGTTAATCACAGAGGCTCCCTTAGGGTTCATTGTTAATCACTGGGGCTCCCATATGGTTCACTGATAATCACTGAGGCTCCCATAGGGTTCACTGTTAATCACAGAGGCTCCCATAAGGTTCATTATTAATCAGCGAGGCTCCCATAGGGTTCAATGTTAATTACTGAGGCTCCCATAGGGTCTGTGTTAATGACTAACGCTTAGGGCTATGTGTTTATCACTGAAACTCTCATAGGGTTCGGTGTTAATCACTGAAGCTCTCATAGGGTTCAGTATTAATCATTGAGGCTCCCATAGGGTTCAGTGTTAATCACTGAGGCTCCCATAGGGTTCGGTGTTAATCACTGAAGCTCCCATAGGGTTCAGTATTAATCACTGAGGCTCCCATAGGGTTCAGTGTTAATCACTGAGACTCCCATAGGGTTCAGTATTAATCACTGAGGCTCCCATAGGGTTCAGTATTAATCACTGAGGCTCCCATAGGGTTCAGTGTTAATCATTGAGGCTCCCATAGGGTTCGGTGTTGATCACTGAGGCTTCCATGAGGTTAAATATTAATCACTGAGGATCCATATGCTTCAGTTTAAATCACTGATGCTCCCAAAGGGTTCAATGTTAGTCGCTAGGGCTCACATAGTGTTTAATGCTAATCACTGAGACTCCCATATGGTTCAGTGTTTATCACCAAGACTCCCATAGGGGTCAGGTGTTAATCATTGAGGCTCCCATAGGGTTCACTGTTAATCACAGAGGCTCCCATAAGGTTCATTATTAATCAGCGAGGCGCCCATAGGGTTCAATGTTAATTACTGAGGCTCCCATAGGGTCTGTGTTAATGACTAAGGCTTAGGGCTATGTGTTTATCACTGAAACTCTCATAGGGTTCGGTGTTAATCACTGAAGCTCCCATAGGGTTCAGTATTAATCACTGAGGCTCCCATAGGGTTCAGTGTTAATCACTGAGACTCCCATAGGGTTCAGTATTAATCACTGAGGCTCCCATAGGGTTCAGTATTAATCACTGAGGCTCCCATAGGGTTCAGTGTTAATCATTGAGGCTCCCATAGGGTTCGGTGTTGATCACTGAGGCTCCCATGAGGTTAAATATTAATCACTGAGGATCCATATGCTTCAGTTTAAATCACTGATGCTCCCAAAGGGTTCAATGTTAGTCGCTAGGGCTCCCATAGTGTTTAATGCTAATCACTGAGACTCCCATATGGTTCAGTGTTAATCACCAAGACTCCCATAGGGGTCAGGTGTTAATCATTGAGGCTCCCATAGGGTTCACTGTTAATCACAGAGGCTCCTATAGGGTTCTCTGTTAATCACAGAGGCTCCCTTATGGTTCACTTAATCACTGGGGCTCCCATATGGTTCACTGTTAATCACTGAGGCTCCCATAGGGTTCACTGTTAATCACAGAGGCTCCTATAGGGTTCACTTTTAATCACAAAGGCTCCCTTAGGGTTCCTTAATCACTGGGGCTCCCATAGGGTTCAGTGTTAACCACTGAGGCTCCCATAGGGTTGAGTGTTAATCAGTGAGTCTCCCATAGGGTTCACTGTTAATCACTGTGGCTTCCATAAGCTTCAGTGTTAATCACTGAGGCTCCCATAAGGTTCACAGTTTAATCACAGAGGCTCCCACAGGGTTCAGTGTTAATCACTGAGGCTCCCATAGGGTTCACTGTTAATCACTGAGGCTCCCATAGGGTTCAGTATTAATCACTGAGGCTCCCATAGGGTTCAGTGTTAATCACAGAGGCTCCCATAGGGTTCGTGTTAATCAGTGAGGCTCCTATAGGGTTCAGTGTTAATCACAGAGGCTCCCATAGGGTTCGTGTTAATCAGTGAGGCTCCCTTAGGGTTCAGTGTTAATCAGTGAGGCTCCCATAGGGTTCAGTGTTAACCACTGAGGCTCCCATAGGGTTCAGTGTTAATCATTGAGGCGCCCATAGGGTTCAATGTTAATTCCTGAGGCTCCCATAGGGGTCTGTGTTAATGACTAAGGCTTAGGGCTAAGTGTTTATCACTGAAACTCTCATAGGTTTCCGTGTTAATGTATGTGGCTCCTATATGATTCAGTGTTAATTATTGAGGGCCCCATAGGGTTAAATGTTAATCACTGAGGCTCTCATAGGGTTCAGTGTTAATCACTGAGGCTCCCATAGGGTTCACTGTTAATCACTGAGACTCCCATATGGTTCAGTCTTAATCACTGAGGCTCCCATAGGGTTCATGTGTTAATCACAGAGGCTCCCATAGGGTTCGTGTTAATCAGTGAGGCTCCCATAGGGTTCGGTGTTAATCACAGAGGCTCCCATAGGGTTCGTGTTAATCAGTGAGGCTCCCATAGGGTTCAGTGTTAATCACTGAGGTCCCCATAGGGTTCGGTGTTAATCAGTGAGGCACCCATAGGGTTCATGTGTTAATCACAGAGGCTCCCATAGGGTTCAGTGTTAATCAGTGAGGCTCCCATAGGGTTAAATGTTCATCACTGAGACTCTTATAGGGTTCGGTGTTGATCACTGAGGCTCCCATGAGGTTCAATATTAATCACTGAGGATCCATATGCTCCAGTTTAAATCACTAATGCTCCCAAAGGGTTCAAAGTTAGTCGCTAGGGCTCCCATAGTGTTAAATGCTAATCACTGAGACTCCCATATGGTTCAGTGTTAATCACCGAGACTCCCAAAGGTTCAGTGTTAATCATTGAGGCTCCCATAGGGTCAAGTGTTAATCATTGAGGCTCCCATAGGGTTCGTGTTAATCAGTGAGGCTCCCATAGGGTTCTGTGTTAATCACAGAGGCTCCCATAGGGTCAAGTGTTAATCATTGAGGCTCCCATAGGGTTCGTGTTAATCAGTGAGGCTCCCATAGGGTCAAGTGTTAATCACTGAGGCTCCCATAGGGTTCTGTGTTAATCAGTGAGTCTCCCATAGGGTTCACTGTTAATCACTGAGGCTCCCATAGGGTTCACCGTTAATCACTGAGGCTCCCATAGGGTTCACTGTTAATCACTGAGGCTCCCATAGGGTTCATGTGTTAATCACAGAGGCTCCCATAGGGTTCGTGTTAATCAGTGAGGCTCCCATAGGGTTCAGTGTTAATCACAGAGGCTCCCATAGGGTTCGTGTTAATCAGTGAGGTTCCCATAGGGTTCTGTGTTAATCACTGAGGGTCCATAGGGTTCGGTGTTAATCAGTGAGGCTCCCATAGCGTTCGGTTTTAATCAACGAGGCTTCCATAGGGTTCAGTGTTAATCACTGAAGCTCCCATAGGGTTCAGTGTTAATCACTGAGGCTCCCATAGGGTTCAGTGTTAATCATTGAGGCTCCCATAGGGTTCACTGTTAATCAGTGAGGCTCTCTTAGGGTTCAGTGTTAATCACTGAGGCTCTCATAGGGTTCAGTGTAAATCACTGAGGCTCCCATAGGGTTCAGTGTAAATCGCTGAGGCTCCCATAGGGTTCACTGTTAATCAGTGAGGCTCCCATAGGGTTCACTGTTAATCAGTGAGGCTCCCATAGGGTTCACTGTTAATCAGTGAGGCTTCCATAGGGTTCACTGTTAATCAGTGAGGCTCCCATAGGGTTCACTGTTAATCAGTGATGCTCCCATAGGGTTAACTGTTAATCAGTGAGGCTCCCATAGGGTTCACTGTTAATCAGTGAGGCTCCCATATGGTTCAATATTAATAATTGAGGCTCCGATAGGGACAAGTGTTAATCACCGAGGCTCCCATAGGGTTCAATATTAATCATTGAGGCTCCGATAGGGTTCGTGCTAATCACTGAGGCTCCCATAGGGTTCGTGTTAATCACCGAGGCTCCCATAGGGTGCAGTGTTAATCACTGAGGCTCCCATAGGGTTCAGTGTTAATCACTGAGACTCCCATAGGGTTCAGTGTTAATCACTGAGGCTCCCATAGGGTTCACTGTTAATCAGTGAGGCTCTCATAGGGTTGAGTGTTAATCATTGAGACTCCTATAGGGTTCAGTGTTAATCAGTGAGGCTCCCATAGGCTTCGGTGTTAATCACTGAGGCTCCCATAGGCTTCAGTGTTAATCACTGAGACTCCCATAGGGTTCAGTGTTAATCACTGAGGCTCCCATAGGGTTCACTGTTAATCAGTGAGGCTCCCATAGGGTTCAGTGTTAATCATTGAGACTCCTATAGGGTTCAGTGTTAATCAGCGAGGCTCCCATAGGCTTCGGTGTTAATCACTCAGACTCCCATATTGTGGTCACTATGGGAGCTTCAACATAGGTTTGTTATAACAATAACAAACTATATGTCCTTACTTTTGTCCCCCCCTGTATAACAATAACAAAGCCGCAACGTCCGAACTTATTTATGTTAAACAGGTCACATTCTGCCACATAATTATCAAAATTTATTAATTTAATTAATTTATGCGCTCGAGTTATTTAATAATTTATTATTTTCAGGCGCGCGCCGCGGCCACCTCGGCGCCGCGAGGACCCCGCCGCCTCCGTCATCGGGAAAGGCCACGTCAACCACCACCGCTACAACAACCACCACTACAACAACCACCACCACCATACCATCACCATCACCACGTCAACCACCACCACGTCAACCACCACCACGTCAACCACCACCACGTCAACCACCACCACGTCAACCACCACCACGTCAACCACCACCACTACAACAACCACCACTACTACTACCACCACCACAATACCATCACCACCACCACGTCAACCACTATAACCACCACTACTACTACCACCACGTCAACCACCACCACTACAACAACCACCACTACGACAACCACCACTACTACTACCACCACCACCATACCATCACCACCACAATATCATCACCACCACCACGTCAACCACTACAACCACCACTACTACTACCACCACATCAACCACCACCACTACAACCACCACCATACCATCACCACCACGTCAACCACCACCAACCACGACCCCCTAACCACCACAACCATCACAACCACCACCACTACCACCACCACTACTACTACCACCACAATACCATCACCACCACCACGTCAACCACTTCAACCACCACCACCACTACGACCCCCTAACCACAATACCACCACCACCACATCACAACCACACTACCACCACTACCCCTTAACCACCATCACTACCACTACTACAACCACCACCCCTTACCCATCATAACCACCACACCACTACCACCACCACACTACTACCACTGCTACCACTACAACCACTACCACCACCACTACTACCACCACAATACCATCACATCCACCACCACAACCATCTAAACCACCACCACTACACAACCACCACACTACCACCACCACCACACTACCACCACACTACCACCACCACACTACCACCACCACTACCACAACCACCACCACCACCAGCAGCTGTGTTGTAGTCTGGAGCGCCACGGCTCCTCGCGAAGAGTTTCGAGGAGGAGGCGGAGGAGATCATGGAGAGCCGCTACAGCCTGAGGAGCCCAGGTGGTGATGGGGGTGGTGGTGGTGGTGATGGGGGTGGTGATGGGGGTGGTGGTGGTGGTGATGGGGGGGTGGTGGTGGTGGTGATGGTGATGGGGGTGGTGATGGGGGTGGTGGTGGTGATGGGGGTGGTGATGGGGGGGTGGTGGTGATGGGGGTGGCGGTGGTGATGGGGGTGGTGGGGGTGATGGGGGGGTGGGGATGGTGGTGATGGGGGTGGTGATGATGGGGGTGGTGGTGGTTGTGGTGGTGATGGGGGTGGTGATGGGGGGGGGATGGTGGTGGTGATGGTGGTGGCGATGGTGGTGATGGTGATGGGGGGTGGTGATGGTGGTGGTGATGGGGGTGGTGGTGATGGTGGTGGTGATGGGGGTGGTGGTGATGGTGGTGGCGATGGTGGTCATGGTGATTGGGGGTGGTGATGGTGGTGGTGATGGGGGTGGTGGTGATGGTGGTGATGGGGGTGGTGGTGGTGGTGATGGTGATGGGGGTGGTGCTGATGGGGGTGGTGCTGATGGGGGGGGGGGGGTGGTGGTGATGGGGGTGGTGGTGATGGGGGTGGCGGTGATGGGGGTGGCGGTGGTTGTGGTGGTTGTGATGGGGGTGGTGATGGGGGGGTGGTGATGGGGGTGGTGGTGATGGGGGTGGTGGTGATGGTGGTGATGATGATGGGGGGGTGGGGATGGGGGTGGTGCTGATGGGGGTGGTGATGGGGGTGGTGGTGATGGTGGTGATGGTGATGTGGGTTGTAGTGGTGATGGGGATGGTGGTTGTGATGGTGATGGGGGTGGTGATGAGGGTGGTGATGGGAGTGATGTGGTAGTAATGGGGGTAATGATGGTGGTGGTGATGGAGGTGGTGGTGGTGATGGGGGGTGGTGGTGGTGATGGGGGTGATGGTGTTGATGATGGTGATGCGGGTGATGATGGGGGTGATGATGGTGGTGATAATGGTGGTGGTGATGGTGGTGGTGATGGTGGTGATGGGGGTGATGGTGATGCGGGTGATGATGGTAGTGATGGTGGTGGTGATGGGGGTGATGGTGGTGGTAGTAATGGGGGTGATGGTTGTGGTAGTAATGAGGGTGGTGGTGGTGATGGGGGTGGTAGTAATGGGGGTGATGGTTGTGGTAGTAATGAGGGTGGTGGTGGTGGTGATGGGGGTGGTAGTAATGGGGGGTGATGATGGTGATGATGGTAGTGATGGTGGTGGTGGTGATGGGGGTGATGGTGGTAGTATTGGGGGTGATGATGGGTATGATGAGTGTGATGATGGTGGTGGTGGTTATGGGGTGAATGATGGTGGTGGTGATGGGGGTGATGGTGATGCGGGTGATGATGGTAGTGATGGTGGTGGTGATGGGGGTAATGGGGGTGATGATGTTGATGATGGTAGTGATGGTGGTGGTGATGGGGGTGATGGTGGTGATGATGGTAGTGATGGTGGTGATGATGGTAGTGATGGTGGTGATGGGGGTGATGGTGGTGGTAGTATTGGAGGTGATGATGGGGATGATGAGTGTGATGATGGTGGTGGTAGTTATTGGGGTGATGATGGTGGTGGTGATGGTGATGCGGGTGATGATGGTGATGATGTTACTCAACGTGAGTGTGTTTGTGTTCACGGTTAGCGGGTCACGCTACGAACCAGCGACAGCCATCATCTCAACCGGTTCTGGGCCTCCCCTCGGTCAACTCAGCCCTAAATGAGTACCTGGTGCAGTGTGAAACAGCAGTGCTGTACTAGGGAGACAAAGGTGGCCGGGCGTGGAGCTGGCTACCCCCTACCCCCTCGTGTACCTTGCCGACCTTCATTGGTGCAGCTCACTAACAGCACTTGCCCCTTCAGTCTGTTAGAGGCTATACGGGAGATCTTTGCCTATGTGTGTAGAATGTATCACACTGTGTGTCTGCCTGTGTCTCCCTCTGTAACCTTGTCTCTCTGTGTCTCCCTGTGTCTCCCCATGATTCCCCGTGTCTCCCCGAATCTCTCCTTGTCTCTCTGTACCCTGGTGTCTCCCCTTGTCTCCCCGTGTCTCCCCGTGTCTCTCTGTGTCTCCCTGTGTCTCCCTGTGTCTCCCTGTGTCTCCCCGTGTCTCTCTGTGTCTCCCTGTGTCTCCCTGTGTCTCCCCGTGTCTCTCTGTCTCCCCGTGTCTCTCTGTGTCTCCCTGTCTCTCCCTGTGTCTCTCTGTGTCTCCCCGTGTCTCTCTGCGTCTCCCTCTGTAACCTTGTCTCTCTGTGTCTACCTGTGTCTCCCTGTGTCTCTGTGTCTCCCCGTGTCTCTCTGTGTTTCCCCATGTCTCTCTGTGTCTCGCCTTGTCTCTCTGTGTCTCTCTGTGTCTCCCTGTGTCTCCCTGTGTCTCTCTGTGTCTGCCTGTGTTTCCCTGTGTTTTTCTGTCTCCCCGTGTCCCTCTGTGTTTCCCCATGTCTCTCTGTGTCTCGCCTTGTCTCTCCGGCTCTCTGTGTCTCCCTCTGTAACCATGTCTCTCTGTGTCTCTCTGTGTCTCCCCGTGTCTCTCCGTGTCTCTCTGTGTTTCCCCATGTCTCTCTGTGTCTCGCCTTGTCTCTCCGTCTCTCTGTGTCTCCCTCTGTAACCATGTCTCTGTGTGTCTCCCTGTGTCTCCCTGGGTCTCCCCGCGTCTCTCCTTGTCTCTCTGTAACCTGGTGTCTCCCCTTCTTTCTCTGTGTCTCTCTGTGTCTCGCCTTGTCTCTCCGTCTCTCTGTGTCTCCCTTTGTAACCATGTCTCTGTGTCTCCCCGTGTCTCTGTGTCTCCCCGTGTCTCTCTGTGTTTCCCCACGTCTCTCTGTGTCTCGCCTTGTCTCCCCGTCTCTCTGTGTCTCCCTCTGTAACCATGTCTCTGTGTGTCTCCCTGTGTCTCCCTGTGTCTCCCCGCGTCTCTCCTTGTCTCTCTGTAACCTGGTGTCTCCCCTTCTTTCTCTGTCTCCCCTTGTCTCCCCGTGTCTCCGCGTGTCTCTCCATGTCCCTCCCCGCCCATCTCAGCCGTGAAGCGACTGATGAAGGAGGCGCAGGAGCTGAGGGAGCCCACTCAGCACTACTTTGCTCAGCCACTCGAGGTGACTTGGGGCGTGGGGAAGGGGGGGGCACACGAGTGCAGTACAACACAGGCGTGCGGTGGCTACGCTGGACATGTGTTGGAACTTCTATCGCACCACCTCACGTAGCTGACCGTGGCCAATCGGAGTGCGTGGGGTGGAAGGACAACAAATGAAACACAACAACAAGGAGTTCTAAAGAAATTATTTTTCAATTGAATATAGTGTGGTGTATAGCAGTATTGTGTATAGTGGAGTGTATTGTGTAGTGTATCGTAGTGAATATTAGTATAGTGGTGTAGTAGAATAGCGTTCCCCCCCACCCCCACCTCTCACATGAGGCACGGGTTCTTCCCGGGTACTCAGGCGTCCTCTCCCACGCGGATAAAGCAACTCCGGTTAATCGGACCTATAACGCCTTCGCTCGCACGTAGAGCAAGACGGAGCTTAGGTAACGCGGTCGGACTCTCGATTATCGGCACTAATGACGGGGAGGATGGACGCCCGCGGATAATTCAAAATCGCGGATAATCCAACGAACATAACCATTTTCCTCGGATCCTCTATGCCTAAAACCACTAACGTTCGGTGTTAAATTATGTTCAAGTTGAGAAAATTGAGAACGAATACGAACAACCGACCGACCAATCGATGCGCCTTCTCGGTGATAATAACACTTCCCTGCGCAAGAAGGCTCCACCCACTGAGTGGATGATTGCAGAGCCACAGCCAATCAGACATCAATAAAACTCAGCCCACTAAGTGGATGATAGCAGAGCTACAGCCAATCAGACATCAATCAAACTCAGCCCACTGAGTGGATGATTGCAGAGCTACAGCCAATCAGACATCAATAAAACTCAGCCCACTGAGTGGATGATTGCAGAGCCACAGCCAATCAGACATCAATCAAACTCAGCCCACTGAGTGGATGATTGCAGAGCCACAGCCAATCAGACATCAATTAAACTCAGCCACCCACTGGCACCTACTGTACTGTAGAGGCGATCGCGTGAATTTCGGATTAATCGGAGCAGCAGTGTATTCGTTCGATTGAAGCACCGTGCGTGACTTGTAATGATCGCTTCTGAGGATAACAGCGTTGCATAACTGTGTTCAGGTTATTGATTTTGGCTCAACGGAAAATCCCACGGGTTATTAATACGTGTCAAAATCTCAAGGGTCCCCGGTTAATCTGCAAGTCGGATAAAGCGCACGCTGACAATCGACAGTCCGCCGTAGTTGGTAGTGGACATCTCTCTGCGGCCTTTGTGCTCCGTGCCTGCGGTTTGTCCTACTCCTCATGGTGGGATCTTGTGGGTCATCGTCATCATCGTCGTCTTCGTCTCAGAGGACGATGATGGTGGTGATGGTGTTGGCGGTGGTGATGATGATGGTTTGTGCCAGGCAATGTGCACCTTGACGTCACCGCCACTTAGTGGCGAATTGCGGTTGTTGTTGATGATGATGGTGGTGGTAAATGATTGTGGTGATGAATGTGGGTAAGGGTGGTGGTGTTGGTGCTGATGTCCCCCTGTCTCCCTGCGTGTCCCTGCATCTCCCCCTGTCTCCCTGTGTGTCCCTGCGTGTCCCTGCATCTCCCTGTGTCTTTCTTTGTCTCTCCCTGTCTCCCCCTGTCTCCCTGTGTCCCTGTGTCTCCCTGTGTCTCTCCGCGTGTCACTGTGCCTCCTGCTGTCTCCCCCTGTCCCCCCGCGTGTCCCCACATGTCCGGGCGAGGCAGGATAATCTGTTTGAGTGGCACTTCTCGGTGAGGGGACCCCCGGACTCGGACTTCGAGGGCGGCATATACCACGGCCGCATCATCCTGCCCCCAGAGTACCCCATGCGGCCGCCCAGCATCATCATGCTCACGGTGGGGGCACACACCGGGTGAATCTGCCTGTCTGTCTGTGTGTGTCGACCTGCGTGTGTCTACGTGTGTGTGACAAGGCCGTAGCCATTGAGTCAACATTGGGGGGAGCGGTGGTGTAGCGGTTAGCGCGCTGCGCTACAAACCTGGCGACCCGGGTTCGATTCCCTCTCATGGCCAACACCAGTGACGATTATCTGAACCGGTCCTGGGCCTCCCCTAGGTCGACTCGGCCTCAAATGAGTACCTGGTGCGATGTGTAAACATCGCCACTAGGGAGACAAAGGCGGCCGGGCGTGGTGTTGGCCACCCACCCCCTCGTGTGCCGTGCCGGCCTTCATAGGTGCTCGCTAACAGCACTTGCCCTTACAGTCTGTTAAGGCTATACGGGGATCTTTATCTTTGTGACAAGGCCGTAGCCATTGAGTCAACATTGGGGGGGACCAAATCTTCCAGGGGGTCATAAAAAAAAAATCTAGATTTGAAAACGAATTTCTTGCCATTTCCTGCCGAAAATTTCAAAAAATGCACTAACACATAGGATGGACTTTTTATTATTTTTTTTACAATAATGTCTAATAGTGTATTGCATTACATTGCTCTGTTTTTTTCTTTTTTTACCTTTTCTTGTTTCATTGTATGTAATGGCACAATAATATGAACATAAATCTATTTTATATACATTTTTGGGGGGGGACCTTTTGAGCATATTTGAATATTTGGGGGGATGTGGCCCCCCCAAGAAATATTATAATTATGGCCTTGGTGTGTGATGACCTGCGTATGACTCCCTGTGTGTGTCTACCTGTGTGTGTCTACCTGTGTGTGTCTACCTTTGGGCAGTGTGCTCATGACCGGCTCCGGTTTAACAGCAGAGGTCTGACTCCGAATCAGTCGAGCGGCATTAACTTTTCATCGGTTGCGTAACGCTGTGTGGAAGCTACCTGGTCTGTCGCTCCGCACGAAGCTTCGGGTCTTCTCGGCTACAGTCATTCCCTCCCTTCTCTACGCTTGCGAAACGTGGACCCACCGAATGGAGCATCTTCGCCGGTTCTAAACATTTAGGCTGGCCTGCCTACGATCCATCCTGGGTTTAACCAGGCTGGATTGTGTGAGGAGCTCACAAATCCTTGAAAGATCTGGGCAAAGTCCCATCGGTGAGCTCCTCCGGCAGGCAAGGCTGCGTTGGCTGGGTCATGTAGCCCGCATAACCAGCCACCGCATGCCTAAACAGCTTTTGTTCGACCAGATCGAGGGGACTAAACGGGCGCGGCACAGGCTAGAGAAGAGATGGAGTGATGTGGTACAGGAGGACGTGGAGCTGAGTGGACTTGCCGATGACTGGTACCAGCGGTGTCAAGATCGGCCTCTGTGGAGGAGGCTCGTGAAGGACGCTACTGGGCAGTTGGAGGCAGTCGCCCTCCAATAACAACGGAGGGCGGAGGAGCGACGCTCACAACAACGAGCGGAGCGCCGGGTGGCTAAAGCACATTAAGTTGGCACATTAGGGGGCACAGGTGGTGCATCAGCCAGTCATCTCAGTCAGTCGACCCGTGGCACCTGGGTCTGCCCCGTGACCTCCTGCCAGCGGGCGTTCGACACTTCACGTGGCCTCAAGGTGCACATGGCTTGGCACAAGCGTCGTGGTGACGTCACCGCCACTTAGTGGCGAATGGCGGTTGTTGTTGTTGTCTCTGTGTGTGTACATCTCTGTATAGGCGAGCGGGAGGTTTGAGGTCGGGAAGAAAATCTGCCTCAGCATTTCTGGCCACCACCCCGAGACCTGGCAACCTTCATGGAGCAGTGAGACTCACTCACCCACTCACTCATCAACTCACCTCACCCACCCACTCACTCATCAACTCACCTCACTCACTCACCCACCCACTCACCAACTCACCTCACTCACCCACTCACCTACTCACTCACCCACCCACTCACTCATAAATTCACCTCATTCACTCACCCACCCACTCACCTACTCACTCACCCACCCACCCATCCACTTACTCACCAAACCACTCACCCACCCACTCACCTACCCATCTACTCACCTACTCACTCACCCAACCACCCATCTACTGACTCACCAACTCACCCACTCACTCACCAACCCACCAACTCACCCACCTACTCACTCACCCACCCACCCATCCACTTATTCACCAACCCACTCACCCACTCACTCACCAACCCACCCACTCACCCACCCACTCACCCACCCACTCACCCACCCACTCACCTACTCACTCACCCACTCACCCACTCACCCACTCACCCACTCAAGCATGGTTTGTGTGTAGTATACATGGATTTAGATGCATATGCATATCTTCGTGTGTCTTTGTGTGTGTGTATCTGTAATATGTATGTATATCTGAGTATGATGATCTGGTGATTGCTGCTCACTCAGAGGAGGAGTTGGAGGCACTCCTGGAGCTTGCCACTAAGAGGTGTGGGGCCTTACCATCAGCCCCACCAAAACTAAGCACCTGTCTGGGTATTTTGTACCATCAGACACTCCACCTCCACAACTCCCAATTGGTGATAGGGCAGTTGTGGAGAGAGTGGAGAGTTTCCCATACCTGGGCAGTGTGCTCATGACAGGCTCCGGTTTGACAGCAGAGGCCTCACTCAGAATCAGTCGAGCGACATCTTTTCATCGGTTGTGTAATGCTGTGTGCAAGCTACCTGGTCTGTCGCTCCCCTAATGGAGCATCTTCGCCAGTTAGAAACATTTAGGCTGGCCTGCCTACGATCCTTCCTGGGTTTAACCAGGCTGGTTTGTTTGAGGAGCTCACAAATCCTTGAAAGATGTGGACAAAGTCCCATCGGTGAGCTCTTCCGGCAGGCAAGGCTGCGTTGGCTGGGTCATGCAGCCTGCATGCCCAGCCACCGCATGCCTAAACAGCCTTTGTACGGCCGGATAGAGGGGGTTAAGCAGGCATGGAACGGGCTAGAGAAGAGATGGAGTGATGTGGTACAAGAGGATGTGGAGCTTAGTGGACTTGCCGATAACTGGTACCAGCGGTGTCAAGATCGGCCTCTATGGAGGAGGCTCGTGAAGGACGCTACCGGGCAGTTGGAGGCAGTCGCCCTCCAACAACAACTGAGGGCAGAGGAACGACGCTCACAATATTGAGCAGAGCATCGGGCGGCTAAAGCACAGCAAGTTGGCAAAGTAAGGGGCACAGGTGGTGCATCGGCCAGTCATCTCAGTCAGTCAACCCATGGCACCTGGGTCTGTCCCATGAGGGGCCATCCATTTCGTAGGTACGCAAAAGTCTGTCAAAAATTGACCCCTCCCCCCCTCCCTGTACGCACGCATACTTTTTACACCCCCCCCCCTCCTGCGTATGTACACTTGACACCCCCCCCCCCCCCCGAATCCTATATAACGGCCGATATTTAATCCACAAAGAAACGATCAAGGATTAATAATATTAACGTGTTTAAGCAAACATAGTCCATTGCCGGACTATCTAACTCATTTGAAGGCCAATGTAGACAAATTATTATCGAGGCTTCACCCCCCCCCCTCATTTCCTATGCGTATGTACATTGTCAGTAGACGCCCCATACGCAAGCGTACGCATTTGGGTTAACCCCCCCCACTCCATGCGTATGTACTAAATGGATGGCCCCTGACCTGTCAGCGAGCCTTCGACACTTTGTGGCGTCAAAGTGCACCTGGCCTGGCACAGGCGCCGTGATGACGTCACCATCACTTAGTGGTGAATGGCGGGTATTGGTGTATCTGTGTGTTCATGTATCTGTGTGTGTGTATCTGTGTTTGTGTGTGTACCTGTGTGTATGTGTGTGTACCTGTGTGTATGTATCTGTGGGTGTGTGTACCTGTGTGTATCTGCGTATGTATCTCTGTATGTATCTGTGGGTGTGTGTATCTGTGTGTATGTATCCATGTGTGTATCTCTGTGTATCTGTATGTATCTGTGTGTATGGATCTGTGTGTGTGCGCGTGGTGTGTGCAGTCCGCACAGCGCTGCTCGCTCTGATTGGGTTCATGCCGACCAAGGGGGAGGGAGCCATCGGCTCCCTGGACTACTCAGCGGAGGAGCGGAGACAGCTCGCCAAACGGTACGCACACACGCACAAACATGCACACGTACACACGCACACGTACACACTCATACATACACACGTACACACGCGCAAACATGCACACGCACACACTCATACATACGCACGTACACACGCACAAACATGCACACGTGTCACACGTACACACTCATACATACACACGTACATACACACATACACACATACATACACGCACAACAACAACAACCGCCATTCGCCGCTAAGTGGTGGGACGTCACCACGACGCTTGTGACAGGCTATGTGCACGTTAAGGCCACGTGAAGTGTCGGACGCCCGCTGGCAGGAGGTCATGACTCTCAGACAACGCGAACTGTGGAGGATTTTTTTATTTCTTAATTAGGGCGCTTCACGCACATAACTTGGCCAGGGATGACACGCAGATAACTTGGGCAAGTGGCGACGACGCGAAGGCAGCGACGACCTGAAGACAGCGACGAAGCGAAGACAGCGACGACGCGACGACAGCGACGACGCGAAGACAGCGACGAAGCGAAGACAACGACGATGGGAAGACAGTGACAGCGTGAAAACAGTCGATCCCGATCCCACGGCAGCCCTGAACCTTGCCTCTCGCCTCCTTTTATCCCCGGCGTGGCCCTCACTAGGCCATGTCCCCTTTCGCGAACTCTCTAGCCTACTCCCGAAATTTCCAGAAGGTTTTCCCCTTCTCATAACTTGCCCTCTATTAATCTCCACCCCTGTAATAATCACTGGGCCACACAATGTCCCTGCACCCACACTATCTCCACACGCGCACTGTCTCGACACACGCACTGTCCCTGCACTCACACTGTCTCCACACACGCACTGTCTCTATACATGTACAACACAGTAGCTCTCCCAGGCCGGCCTCGCACTGTGTCATCCAGCGATTTCACTAAACAATTATACAAATTGTTCATAAGATGATAGTGGTTGAGATAATAAAATAGTGGTGTTGTTGTTCAAGTGGTGATGTAGTCATGGATGATGGTTAGGAGGGAGCGGTTTAGGAGAATTTGGGGGTAGTGGTGGTGAGGTGGTGGTGGTGGTGATGATGATGGTGGTTGTGGTGGAGGTGGTAGAGGAGGAGGAGGTGGTAGTGATGAAGGTGGTGATGGTGATGGTTGTGGTGCAGGGGGAGGTGATGGTGATGATGATGATGGTGATGATGATGGTGATGATGGTAAAGGTGGCAGAGGTTGTAAAGGAGGTGGTGGTGGTTCTGGTGTATTTTTTTTCTCACCATCCATTGTGCCCCACCCCCCCGTGCACCCCACTTACCTCCCCCCCCGTGCCCTCTTGTGCCCCCCTCCTTACCTCTCCCCCCCCTCCCGTGCCCCCTCTAGCTCTAGAGAGTTTGTGTGCGAGGGCTGTGGGGAGCGTTTGAGGGCGGCGCTGCCGGAGGCGGCCGAGGGGCCCAGCCCGGACGACAGCGAGGCTCACGAGCTGGCTCGGCAGATCAGCTTCAAGGTGAATCACTCGCTCGCTGGCTGACTCACTCGCTGGCTAGCCCACTCGCTCACTCACTCTTGAGCTGGCTCGGCAGATCAGCTTCAAGGTGACTCGCTCGCTGGCTGGCTCACTCACCTGGCTCACTCGCTAACTCACTCTTGAGCTGGCTCAGCAGATTAGCTTCACGGTGACTCATTCGTTGGCTCGCTCACTTACTCGCTGGCTTGCTCACTCGCTCTTGAGCTGGCTTGGCAGATCAGCTTCAAGGTGACTCACTCGCTTGCTCGCTCACTCGCTCACCCACTCACACTGACACTCGCTCACCCACTCAGTCACACTGACACTCACTCACCCACTCACTCACACTGACACTCACTCACCCACTTACTCACACTGACACTCACCCACTCACTCACACTGACACACACTCACTCACACTGACACACACCCACTCACACTGACACCCACTCACTCACACTGACACTCACTCACCTACTCACTGACACCCACCCACCCACTCACTCACACTGACACTCACCTACTCACTCACACTGACACACACTCACCCACTCACTCACACTGACACCCACTCACTGACACTGACACTCACCCACTCACTCACACTGACACTCACTCACCCACTCACTCACACTGACACCCACCCACTCACTCACACTGACACCCACTCACTCACACTGACACTCACTCACCCACTCACTCACACTGACACTCACTCACCCACTCACTAACTCGGCTGCCAAAGCAGAGGCGGTGATGAGCACTGCTGCCCCCTGCTGGGGCTGCTCCCTGCTGAGACTGCCCCTTGCTGGGACTGCCCCCTGGTGATTCCCGGTGTTATTGCAGCCGGAGGCGACCGGGCCAGGGACACAACCTCCAGAGGGCAGCAGCAGCAGCGGTGGTGGTGGCGGTATTGACAGCGCCAGCAGTGGCAGCATCACTACCACAGGTGGGCACGGCTGTGGTGGTGATGCACACAGAGCCCGTAACGCACGGTGCACGGTGGGTGGATATAGGTGGGTAGGTGAGTGGGTGGAGGGGTGGGTGGGTGAGTAAGTAGGTGGGTGGAGGGGTGGGTGAGTGGGTGGAGGGTTGGGTTGGTGAGTGAGTGGGTGAGTGGGTGGGTAGTTGTGTGGGCCAGTGGGTGGGTGGATGTGTTGATGGCTGAGTGGGTGGGTGGCTGAGTGAGTGGGTGGCTGAGTGGGTGGGTGGGTGGCTGAGTGAGTGGGTGGCTGAGTGGGTGTGTGGCCTGGTGGGTAGCTTGGTTGGTGAGTGGCTGGGTGGCTTGGTGTGTGGCATGGAGAGTGATTAAGTGAGTGGTGAGCGAGTTGTTGTTGTTGTTGTTAGGTCCATCCCCCTCTGCAAGTGAACCCCAGGAAGAGAGCGGAGAATCGGGAGCTCAGAGACTCCGTCCACCGGTAACTCACAAACTCACCCACCCACCTACCCACTCACTCACCCACTCACTGCCCCACTCACTCAGCCTTCCACTCACTCACTCACTCACAGAGGCTGTTCTTGGCATCGCTGGTCATTGGCAAGTCCACTCTTCTCTATCCCGTGCCGTGCCCGTTTAGCCCCCTTTATCTGGCAAGACAAAAGCTGTTTAGGCATTAGGTGGCTTGGTTTGCGGGCTACATGACCCAGCCAACGCAACCTTGTCTGTCGGAGGAGCTCAATGATGGGACTTTGTCCAGATCTTTCAAGGATTTGTGAACTCTTAACACAATCCAGCCTGGTTCAACCCAGAATTTATCTTAGTCAGGTCAGCCTAAATGTTTCTAACCAGCGCAGATGTTCCATTCGGGTCATCCACGTTTCGCAAGCATAGAGAAGGGAGGGCATGACCGTGGCTGAGAAGACCTGGAGCTGTAGATGGTGGGAGTGGGCCTGTCGCTTTTTCTCAGACAGCCGGAACACCTCCTCCGTCAGCCAGGGTCTCTGAGGAGGTTTGGACCGTGTACCCAAAGCAGCCATTGCAGCCGCTTGAGTCACAGGAGGCGTGGGGGACTACGCCAACCCCAGCTGCAATCGATGATGAAATTCTCGCTTGCAACTTTCATTATCTAGCTGAAACCAGGCCACTGCGTTTTAATGGGAGCCTGGGTGTACACCCATCATTAAATAGTCCAGTAAATGTTTTTGCTTGGACCCGGCGTGCATCCATGATGTGGTGTAGATGCGCCGATGCCAGGACAGTGTGTTGGTAATTACAAGCCCATGGGCTGCATAGAAGTCTAGCAGCCTCCGACCGTTGTTATTGAGCTGATCTGGCCCATACCTTCTAATCACTGCAGACCAGTTGCCAGCATCATGAACCACACGGGCATTAAAGTCATCCAACAGGATGACTCTATCCCGAGGGGCGACTTTAGCTTGCACCTGTAACAGGAGGTCATTGAAAGCATCTAACTCATTGGCCTTGCCTGCATCCCTCCACTGATGTTCATCTTCGATGGGGGCATAAGTAACATGACCACTACTCCTTGCCTCTGGTTAATGGGAAGGTGAGCCCACAGTAGCCTGGGGCTTCCAACTTCCCACACCTCACCACCACGCTCCCACGTCCCCTTCATTCTTTTGTTCAGAAGAAGAGCCACTCCCTGTTGTTTCGCAGTCTCCTGCCCCAAGTAGAGGACTGTCCACCCCTCATGATGGCAGGAGCCAGATCCAGTCCACCAGACCTCCTGAATACTGCAGAGATCCAGGCGGTACCAGTCCAGCTCCCGACAGAGGAGTGGCAGCCTCTCTTCCGCAGTGAGCTTTCGAACATTCCACGTGGCCACCGACAGTGGCTTTTTGCCATTTCTGGAGGAACTCCGAGGGTACGGATTCAGTCTCCTGGCTCCGCCAACATGGGATGTCATAGACACCTGTCCACCCGGGGCCTCTCACACGAGCTTAGTTCGATATTTAGCACACGTTTTCACGGTAGTTAAATTGAAGGTGGAGGGGTTGTCAGCCTCTCGCACCCATCCAGAGCACCCATTGGCCGTTGTGGTGGCTACAAGCGCCATGAGGGTAATAGCCAATTGGATTTGGCCGTTCCCCCCATGGCATTGTTCACCACATCGTTAAAGTCCGGCACCACTCAACCAGTCACCCACCCAGCCAGCCAGCCAGCCAACCGCCCATTCAGCCAACCGCCCGCCCACCCAGCCACCCACCCAGCCACCCGCCAATCCAGCCACCCGCCCGGCCACCCAGCCACCCGCCCGCCCACCCGGCCACCCACCCAGCCACCCGCCAACCCACCGACCCAGCCACCCACCTAGCCACCCAGCCGCCCGCCCGCCCTGCCACCCACCCACCCAGCCACCCGCCCAGCCACCCAGCCACCCGCCCACCCAGCCACCCACCCAGCCACCTGCCAACCCACCCACCCAGCCACCCACCCACCCAGCCACCCGCCCAGCCACCTGCCAACCCACCCACCCAGCCACCCGCCCACCCAGCCACCCGCCCAGCCACCCAGCCACCCGCCCACCCAGCCACCCACCCAGCCACCTGCCAACCCACCCACCCAGCCACCCACCCACCCACCAACCCAGCCACCCACCCAGCCACCCACCCAGTCACCCAGCCACCCGCCCACCCAGCCACCCGCCCAGCTACCCGCCCACCCAGCCACCCACCCAGCCACCCACCCAGCCACCCACCCACCGACCCACCTACCGACCCAGCCACCCACCCAGTCACCCACCCGCCCAGCTACCCGCCCACCCATCCACCCACCCACCCAGCCACCCACCCCACCCAGCCACCCACCCACCGACCCAGCCACCCACCCACCCATCCACCCACCCAGCCACCCGCCCACCCAGCCACCCAGCCACCTGGCCAGCCACCCGCTCACTCTCCCTCCATCTCCCCCCCCCCCGTCCCATCCTCACGCGCTACAGTCGCCAGCCAGCACGGAGCCCCGGCAACGCGTGGTCACCACGGCCACCACCGCCACCACCTCCTCCTCCTCTTCAGCAGCAGCAGCAGTGCAGCCCGGCGGGGGACGCGGGGGGAGGGGGGCCGAAGTTGGGGAGGAGGCGGGGAGCGGGGGACCGAGGGGAGGGGCCGTGGGGGGGCGGGGGCTGGCCTCCTCCCTACTGGTGGCGCTCCTCGCGGTGGCCATCGCCTTCCTGGTGCTGCGCAGAGCACTGCTGGGTCGGGCGTTCGACGACGGATACGGAGTGTGACGCATGCGTGGTGTGAGTGTGACGCACGGTGTGTGTGTGTGTGTGACACACGCACGGTGTGTGTGTGTGTGAGTGTGACACACGCACGGTGTGTGTGTGTGTGAGAGTGACGCACGCACGGTGTGTGTGTGTGTGAGAGTGACGCACGCACGGTGTGTGTGTGTGTGACGCATGCGTGGTGTGCGTGTGTGTGTGACGCATGCGTGGTGTGCGTGTGATGCATGCGTGGTGTGTGTGTGACGCATGCGTGGTGTGCGTGTGTGTGTGACGCATGCGTGGTGTGCGTGTGACGCATGCGTGGTGTGTGTGTGACGCATGCGTGGTGTGCGTGTGTGTGTGACGCATGCGTGGTGTGTGTGTGACACATGCGTGGTGTGCGTGTGTGTGTGACGCACGCACGATGTGTGTGTGCGTGACGCATGCGTGGTGTGCGTGTGTGCGTGACGCACGCGTGGTGTGCGTCTGTAACGCACGCACGGTGTGTGTGTGTGACGCATGCACGATGTGTGTGTGTGTGTAACGCACGCACGGTGTGTGTGTGTGACGCACGCACGGTGTGTGTGTGTGACCCACGGTGTGTGTGTGACCCACGGTGTGTGTGTAACGCAAGGTGTGTGTGTGACGCACGCACGGTGTGTGTGTGTGACGCACGCACGGTGTGTGTGACGCACGGTGTGTGTGACACACGCACGGTGTGTGTGTGACGCACGCACGGTGTGTGTGTGTGCGACGCACGCACGGTGTGTGTGTGTGCGACGCGCGCACGGTGTGTGTGTGTGTGACGCGCGCACGGTGTGTGTGTGTGTGACGCGCGCACGGTGTGTGTGTGTGTGACGCGCGCACGGTGTGTGTGTGACACGCGCACGGGGTGTGTGTGACGCGCGCACGGTGTGTGTGTGACGCGCGCACGGTGTGTGTGTGTGACGCGCGCACGGTGTGTGTGTGTGACGCGCGCACGGTGTGTGTGTGTGACGCGCGCACGGTGTGTGTGTGTGACGCGCGCACGGTGTGTGTGTGTGTGACGCGCGCACGGTGTGTGTGTGTGACGCGCGCACGGTGTGTGTGTGTGACGCGCGCACGGTGTGTGTGTGTGACGCGCGCACGGTGTGTGTGTGTGACGCGCGCACGGTGTGTGTGTGTGTGACGCGCGCACGGTGTGTGTGTGTGACGCGCGCACGGTGTGTGTGTGTGACGCGCGCACGGTGTGTGTGTGTGAAGCGCGCACGGTGTGTGTGTGTGACGCGCGCACGGTGTGTGTGTGTGATGCGCGCACGGTGTGTGTGTGTGACGCACAATGTGTGTGACGAGTCGTGTTAGAGAGTGTGTCTGTGTGCGTGTCTGTGTATGACTGTGTGTGTACGTGTGTATATGTGAATGATTATGATTATTGGTATCATGAAATCATTTCTGAATTATTCACGTAGCGAGCACTTCCACACACTTGTGTCTCAATAGAGACTCAGACCCTGAGACCCGGTCTCCCTGTGTCTCTAGACCCTGAGTCTCTATACCCTGAACACACAGTTTGCTTGAGGCTCTAGACCCTGAATATTTAGAGCCTGAGACCTGATCTCCCTGATTCTACAGACTCTTGAGACCCGGTTTCCCAGAGTCAGCAGACGCCGAGACCCGATCTCCCCGAGTCTCAGATCCCACTAATATTTCCCCCCCTCTCTGCATTCTTAATCGCGTATTTAATGACATCACCATGTACTGCTTGAGGCCCAATTACTATTTAAGTCTCAAAAGCAACAAAAGCTGTATAGACCGTCGGGGCGAGCGCTATTAGCGAGCGCCTCGGGGCCGTCCATAAATGACGTCACGCACCTAGGGGGGGTGGTCAGACATTTGTCACGATGTGTGACGAGGGGGGGTGGTTTGAGAAGTGTGACGTCACATAAAAATGCGCAACTTTAAATAAATATAGATAACACGTTCTACTTAATTAAATGGACTTTTTAATAAAAGTTTTCTCCTACAATGACAATAGTTTAAAGCGATTTGGAGCATGTTTTATATATTTTGGGGGGGGGGGCAGAGCTGTGACGTCATATTTGAGGGGGGGGTCTGACTTTTTGTGACGCCGTGACGAAGGTGGGCGGGGGGGGGGGTCAAAAATCGTCCAAAATCACGTGACGTCATTTATGGACGGCCCCTTACGCTTTATTTTTATTAACCCACCAGGCCCTCATTTAATGCCAAGTGGACCTTGGGGTGTAGGCCCACGAGCCGGCCTGTGAGTTCCCACGTCACGCGTGTACATTGTCCCGTGGATGGACTCGACCCCCTCGGGCATAGGAACGTGGAACTTCCATCGCTTGGGCGCGGCATCGCGCGCAACGCACGCGGCGGGAGTTGCCGTCCGCCACTTGGGTGGCAGCGTGGTGACTGTCACCACGGCGCTTGTGCCAGGCTAGGTGCACCTCGAGGCTATTCGGGTGAAGTAGAGGAGGCTGTCGCAGCTGGCAGGCGGTCACAGGACGGACCCAGGTGCCAGGCTAGGTGCAGCATGAGGAGATCACGGGATACACACAGGTGTCTATGGGTTGACTGCCGTACCAGGCTAGGTGCAGGAGGAGGTCACGGGACACACCCAGGTGTCTATGGGTTGACTGCCGTGCCAGGCTAGGTGCAGGGGCAGGAGGTCACGGGACAGACCCAGGTGCCTGTGTGGTGTTGTTTGTGCTGATCTCCACTCCCCCTCGTGGCTCGGCATGCTGTGAGGAAATCTGAATAAAGAAAAAAAAATAAACACAACCGTGCCATGCCCACCCCTGTTTTCTCCCACTGGCACAACCGTGCCCCTGCCGTGCCGAGCCGTGCGGCTGTTTTCCACAGCCTCCGATGTCACGCTATGGTGATTGAGCATTCGACTGTGTGAGTGGGTGAAGAGTTGAGTGGTACGGCCCGTAGAAGAGGTGGAGCTGATGGATGAGTGGCACGGGCTGGAGAGGAGGTGGAGCTGATGTGGTTACAGGAAGATGTGGAGCTGAGTGGACTTGCCGATAACCGCTACCAGCCATGTGAAAGTCGGCCCCTGTGGAGGAGGAGGAGGAGGAGGCTCGTGAAGGACTCTGCTACTGGGCAGTTGGAGACGACGAACCTCCATGGAAAAGGAGGGCAAATGAGCGACGCTCACAACAACGAGCGGGGCACCGGGCGGCTAAAACGCACAGTCGGGGTCATAGGTGGTACATCTGCAACAGTTCATCAACATTGCATACCTGTCGTGCCCTACCTTATAACAACAGACTAATTCAGACCTCGTTGGTCACCCCGTGTCCCTTATGAATCTCAACGTTCATCCTACAAAGGGAGAAACACATATAGACTCTAGTTCTCTGTACAAGAATACGGGTAAACCGTATGGGTTGACAGATTGGTTCCATACTATTTGGCTCTTTCGGTAAAGTCACGTAGGTATGAAATAAATCACGACGTTTCGGGCGGGAAAGCATGCTTTCCCACCTGATGACGTGACTTTACCGAAAGAACCAAAGAGTATGGATTCCTGCAGTCACGAAAGCTTCAAATAAAGATTGGTTCCAGTGAGGTCAAATTAGGCAAATTGTATTCCACCGAGGAGCATATCATAAATGTGTGTAATCTATGTGAAAGAAGACTCGGGCCCTTTTTTCTGTTAACCAAGGTAAGGTCTTTATTTCACGGAACGGGTCCACATCTTCATCCTCGCTCTCTCCAGCGACGTTCCCAACTCGGCCACCCACTACTCACCCACTCATCCACTCGTCCAACCACCCACTACTCACCCACCCACTACCCACCCACTCACTACTCACCCACTCACTACTCACCCACCCACTACCCACCTACTACCCACCCACACATCCACCCACTCATCAACCCGCTCTTTTGACCTCTTCCTGGCGTCGCACTCCGTCTCCACCGATCGTCGTCTTGTCTTATCCTCGCCTGGCCTAATCATCCCACCTGAGGCTCAACCACCCGCCTGCCCACTCAACCACTCACTCAACCACCCACTCACCCAACCAACCACCCACTCACCCACCCAACCACCCACCCACCTCACCCAACCACCCACCCAACCACCCACCGACTCACCCAACCACCCACCCACTCACCCACTCACCCACCCAACCACCCAACCACCCACTCACCCAACCACCCACCGACTCACCCAACCACCCACCCACCCACTCACCCAACCACCCACCGACTCACCCAACCACCCACCCATCCACTCACCCAACCACCCACCCAACCACCCACCTACTCACCCACCCAACCAACCACTCACCCAACCACCCACCGACTCACCAAACCACCCACCCACTCACCCACCCACTCACCCAACCACCCAACCACCCACCCACTCACCCACCCACCCACCCACTCACCCAACCACCCACGCACTCACCTACCCACTCACCCAACCACCCACCCACTCGCCCAACCACCCACCCACTCGCCCAACCACCCACCCACTCACCCAACCACCCGCCCAACCCCCAGCCCACTCGTCCAACCACTCGCCCAACCACCCACCCAATCACCCAACCACCCATCCAGCCACCCACCCAACCACCCACTCACTCACTCACACACCCAACTAACCACTCACCCAACCACCCACACTCACCCAACCACCCACTTACCTTAATATTATGTTATTCCATATATGGCCATTGCCTCATTAATATTCGCGAGGGAGCGGTGGTCAACGTCACGTAGATTTCCCCCCCTCCCCGCTCATTCGCCCCGCCCCTAACCCCGCCCCGCCCCTAACCCCGCCCCTCGCCAAGCCCCGTCACCCGGATGTTGCTGCGCACGGCCCCATTCGTTCGCCGGCAAACCGGAAGCAGGAGGCGAGAGGAGTTGAAGGCAGCGGCGGCGGCGTCGGAGTCGTCTCCGAACAACACAAAACTACAAAGTTCCATCGCTCGCCATCCGCGTCCTTTAAACGCCAACCCGGACTCCGCGAGCCCCTCACGCCCTCTCCCACCCCCTCTTCCGTCTCGCCATGGCCTCGTATCGGGTGAGGGTTTCCTCCGTTACTGTGTTGTTCCAAGGGTGTCTTGCGTGGTTTGTTCGCCCCAAACTTCGGCTTCGCTTCGACTGTTGCTATGGAGTCCGCGGCCGCCCCGAGGCTGTCTCCACTGATCGAGTGGTGGCGGACTGACTCCTGTACCTCCATCATCACCATCACCTCCACCACCATCACCTCCACCACCATCACAACCATCACCACAACAACAACCACCACCACGATCCCCAACCCCTACTAACCGTCACCATGACTACACCACGACTTTAACAACAACAACCACCACCACCGCTCTATTATCGCAACAACTTTCATCGTACGTACACTTTATATAATTGTTGTAAAGCGCATTGGAATAAGGCGCTGCTGTATATCAATCTTAAGATTTACGTTGTTACCCACTGCAGTGTTCCCTAACGCCACAGTCACGTTATGGTGTACTGTGTAGTGCAGTGCAGGCACTGTGTGTGCACTCTTTAGGTAAAGTCACGTAGGTAGAGAAATAAAATGAAAATAAAAAATATATCACGACGTTTCGATCGAAGCACAAGCGATCGTCCTAAGGCGAAACAAAATCCAGCGGTGGAACAGCGGCTGTGGTTCTATTGCTGGATTTTGTTTCGCCTGAGGACGATTTGCGATTGAAATGTGATATATTATTTATTTTACTTTTGCTACCTACATGACTTTACCGAAAGAACCAAAGAGTATGTATGGATTCCTGCAGTCACGAAAGCTTCGAATCAAGAAGGTACTGTGTAGTTACAGGCACTTTGTGTAGTTAGAGTACAAGTGCTGCGTAGTACAGTAAAGGTATTGTGTTGTACAGGCACTGTGTGTAGTACAATACAAGTACAGTGTAGTACAGTACGTGTACTGTGTGGTACAGTACAGGTTTTGTGTAGTAACACATTCCTGCGGAGGGAGCTGGTAGGAACGTTGGGTTGCTCGGTCAATGGCCAGGGTCAACGGCGGCGTGGTGTATTCCGCAAATATGGCCGACTGTGAGGGCGGGCACAAGCCGGCGTGAGTAGGTTAAACGTTGAGTTTTATAAGGACACCACGGGGTGACCAGCCCCTCCCCACCCAGCCCCACCCAGCCCCTCCCCACCCTCTCCACCCAGCCCCACCCCTCCCATTTTTGGATGCACGACGGACGGACACAATAATCCCCTGTGGGCTGGTGGAAACAGGTGGTTCCTACCAGTACAATTACTGTGTAGCACATTACAGATACTTTGTAGTACACTAGTACAGGTACTGTGTAATATAGTACATGTCCCGTGTATTACAGGTACTCTGCAGTACATGTACTCTTTAGTACAGGTACTGTGTAGTGCAGAACAGGTACTCTGTAGTACAGGTACTCTGTAGTTCAGTGTGTGGAGTAGAGTTAACATCTCACCGTGGTGACTAGGAGATGTTATCTCCCTCGCTTAGTATACAGGAGGTCGTGGGTTCGATCCCGACCATGATACCTGATTGGCCTACACCAGAGACAGTCTTCTTTAAAACACACACAACACCTAATAATATAATGGTATGCAAGAATGTGCAAAAATTAGATATTTAAAATAATTGATGTAGTGATTATCCGGTGCTTTTGAAAATTCGGCGCCCCCTTCCCCCACCCAGAAGCTGCTGGATAATCTATGGTCTATCGTATAAATGTAAAAAAAAAAAATTACACAGCTATTTTTTCAGAAGCGACCTGGCCACCAATGATAGCTCAACAAAGTGGCTTCCCGTCATCACGTGGAATATCATAGCAGCAGCCAAATTTCCTCTGAACGCACGACGTTGATTCTAAATGTGGAGGGGAAAAACTGGAGGACCCGGAGACAAATCCACGCGACCGCGGGAGAGAGAGACGAAGACTCCAAATATACATCAGCAGGCGTCAAGGTCTGGATAAAACCCACGACCTCCTTTATACCAGGCGAGGTAGTTAATATCTCAGCCACCATGGCGTCAGGGTCAGGATCGAACCCACGACCACCTGCATACCAGGCGAGGGAGTGAACTTCTTGCCACCGTGGCACCCCAATTAGTTTATCAATGTAGTTTATAGGGTATTTGAAACCGCTCGTACGTGAGCCGGACCACCCCTAGGTTGACTCGGCCCTAACTGAGCTGGGGTTATTGTTGTTATCAGGCGGCTGACTCGAAGCGGGAGGAGTTCCGTAGGTACCTGGAGAAGTCGGGCGTTCTGGACGCGCTCACAAAAGGTGCCGATTCACACTCAGAAACTCATTCACTCACACACCCAGAAACTCATTCACTCACACACCGAGAGACTCATTTACTCACACACCGAGAGACTCATTCATTCACACACTGAGAGACTCATTCACTCACAGACCTAGAGACTCATTCAAATTCATAAACTCATTCACTCACACACCCAGAGACTCATTCACTCACACACCTAGAGACTAATTCACTCACAGACCTAGAGATTCATTCAAATTCATAAACTCATTCACTCACACACCGAGAGACTCATTCACTCACACACCCAGAGACTCATTCACTCAGACACTGAGACTCATTCACTCACACACCTAGAGACACATTCACTTATACACCTAGATGCACATTCACTTACATACCTAGAGACTCATTCACTTATACACTGAAAGAGGAATGCACTTGTACACTGAGAGACTCATTCACTTGCACACCTCGAGACTTTCACTTATACACCTAGACGCAGTCACACACACCTAGGGACTCATTCACTTATACACCTAGAGACACATTCACTTACACACCTAGAGACTCATGTTTTAAGTCTACGGGCAGTGCTGAGGCTCCACGCAGTTCTGTCTACGGGCAGTACTGAGTCTATGGTGCAGTGTTGAGTCTACGGTACAGTGTTGCATCTGTGGTGCAGTGTTGAGTTTATGGGCAGTGTTGAGTCTATGGGCAGTGTTAGTCTATGGTGATGTTTACTACACACCGCGGCCAGGTACTAATTTGAGACCGAGCTGACCTAGGGAAGGCCCAGCACCGGAACCAGATAATCGTCACTGGTGTTGGCTGTGAGCGGGAATTGAACTCGGGTCGCAAGGTTCAGAGCACACTTCTTCATATTTTCTTGTACACGCGCATTTGTCAAGCGTTGGCGCTGTGGATAGCGCACTGTACTTAGGAACCCGACGAACAGAGTTCGATTCGCGCTCAAGGTTAATATCGGTAGGGCTGCCCGAGGTCAACTCAGCCTTAAAAGAGCACCTGGTGCATTGTGGGAACATCAGTACCGGAGAAACAAAGGCGGCCAGGTATGTGCCGTGGTGCAGGCCTTCATAGGCGGTGCTACTCACGAACAGCACTTGTCCCGACAGTCTGTTAAGGGCTATACGGGGGACCTTTGTCTTTGTATGTGTGCGTGCGCAGTGCTCGTTGGTCTGTACGAGGAGCCAGACAAACCCAACAATGCCCTGGAGTATCCTCAACCACGCCACTCAACCACGCCACTCAACCACGCCACTCCACGTTTAGAATCAACGTCACATGTTTATAGTATTTATCTTCTGCTATCAATTTCCACATGCTGGTGATGACAAGCCACCACTTCGGTGAGTAGCTATCATTTGTGATGGCCAGGTTGCGTCTGATTGAAGAGCTCCATAGGTCAGTGGGGCCTTACATCTGTGATACGAGGGGGACCCATCGTGTGAGTCGGCGTCCGTTGCGTGTGATCTTTGGGACCTCCCCAGTGTCAGGACCCCCATGCGTGAGTGTGTGTGTGATTCTAGGGGACCCTAGGGGAGCCTAGGGAACCCCCCAGTGTTAGTATCCCCCCATGTGTGTTATCCTAAGAGAGCCTAGGGGACCCCTCAGTGTCAGGTGTGAGGGGTTGATAACCCACCTTTCATTATTTATCACTAAACCACATGAGAAATAAAGAACGAAGTTTGTGCCGGAGGCCCCGGGGGGACAGGCATTTATGACGTCTGCTGGCCAAACCCATTTCGCGGAGCCTGGAGAGGGAATCTTTACCCATGGGGTTCCTCCAGTAAAATGAAATAGCCATTGCAGGAGACCACTTGGAATGTTCGAATGCTCATTCCTCTGTTGGGAGCTGGACCGGTACCGCCTGGATCTCTGCGGTATTCAGGAGGTCCGGTGGACTGGCTCTGGCTCCTACCACTGAGGGGTGGACAGTCCTCTACTTGGGGCAGGAGACTGCCAAACAACACGGAGTGGCTCTTCTGAACAAAATAATTAAGGCGGGTGTGGGAGCGTGGCGGTGAAGTGTGAGAATTTGTAAGCCCTAACATGTAACAGGTGCAAGCTGAAGTGGCCCCTCGGGATAGAGTCATCCTGTTGGGTGACTTTAATGCCTGAGTGGGTCATGAACCTGGCACCTGGTCTGGAGTGATTGGAAGGCATGGGCCAGATCAGCTCAATAACAAGGGTAGGAGGCTGCTAGACTTTTGTGCAGCCCATGGGCTTGTAATTACCAACATGATTTTTTGACATCGGTGCATCCACAACATCATGGATGCATGCTGGGTCCAAGCAAGAACATCTGCTGGACTATGTAGTGACTAAAGTGGATGCGGGCCCATGTCCTTGAGACCAGGACCTACTGTGGAGCTGATCTGCCCACTGACCATCAGCTTGTCATCTGTAAGATGTGCCTGCCATTCTTCCTCTCCAGTGGTGGGTGTATATCCAGAACCCCATTCAAACCCATAGTGGTTGGTGGGGCAGTTGTGGAGAGCGTGGAGAGTTTTCCTTTTTCTGGGTGGTATGCTCATGACCGGCTCGGTTTGAAAGCAGAGCTCTCACTCCGAATCAATCGATCAGCATTATTTTTCATCGTCTGCGTAACGCTGTGTGGAAGCTACCTGGTCTGTCGCTCCACATGAAGCTTCGGGTCTTCTCTGCCATGGTCATGCCCTTCTCTATTCTTGCAAAATGTGGACCCCCCTAATGGAACATCTTTACCGGATAAAAACATTTAGGCTGGCCTGCCTTCGATCCATCCTGGGTTTAACCTGGCTGGATTGTCTGAAGAGCTCACAAATCCTTGAAACATATGGAAAAAATCCCATCGATGAGCTCCTCCAGCAAGCAAGGCTGCATTGGCTGGGTCATGTAGACCACATGCCCAGCCACCACATGCCTAAACAGCTTTTGTTCGTGGTGCAAGAGGATGTGGAGCTGAGTGGACTTGTTGATGACTGGTACTAGCAGTGTCAAGATCGGCCTCAGTGGAGGAGGCTCGTGAAGGACACTACTGGGCAGTTGGAGGCAATCGCCCTCCAACAGCAACAGAGGGCAGAGGAGCGACGCTCACAACAATGAGCAGAGCACCCAGTGGCTAAAACACAGCAAGTTGGCACAGTAGGGGGCACAGGTGGTGCATCGGCCAGTCATCTCAGTCATCTCAATCAGTCGACCCATGGCACCTAAATCTGTCCTGTGACCTGCCAGCAGGCATTCGACACTTCACGTGGCCTTAAAGTGCACATAGCCTGGCACAGGCACCATGGTGATGTTACCGCCACTTAGTGGCGAAGGTCGGTCATTGTTGTCGTTGAGTGATCCTTGACGTCGCCGCTCAGCTTCCTGAAGCAGCACCTGAGCTCTGCGGGCCCCGAGGGGGCCGATGTAGAGGCCCTGCGCCTCGAGGCCTCTGAACTGCGCCTCAAGTTGGACTCCCTGGCTGAAGAGAACCGCGAGCTCAAGGGCAAGGTGAGCGGCGTCCTCGTGGTCACGACGATAATGATGCAATCGTTGATGATGATGGTGTCGATGTAATCATTAATAATGTATGGCAGAACCCCTCTTAACGGTAATTGGTTCCAGGAAGCCGGTCGATAAGCGAGTAAATGTTTCCACTTCAAAGCACAGCAGACACTGAATATAAACAATGCCCCAACACCCATGAATGGACGTCACTGATTGCCCGAGGCCTGGTCAGACCACTTTGGAACTCGCCGATTGGCCGAAATTGACAGTTGTGTGCTCGTCATAAGTCGCCGTTAACAGGGGAATGGTCGGTAAGCGAACACATTGGGCTCTATGGATGCCCATCGTTAAGCAATTAGTCGTTAACTACACTATACACTACACTACTATATTCTACACTATACACTACACCACAATACGCTACACCACTATACGCTACACCACTATACGCTACACCACTATAGACTGCTGCTGTATACTATACTATACACTACAATATAAACTACTATATACTATTCTCCACATTGGGCGCTATGAACGCTCGTCGTTAAGCGGTAGTTGTTAACAGGGGTGGTCGTTAAGAGGGGTTCCACTATAATTATTTATGATAATGACAATGTAATCATTCATTTAATCAATTATAGTGATGTCGACAACAATGATGATGACGATGTAATCATTAACGACGATGTTGAAATCATTAACGATGATGACGACGATGATGTGATCATTGCCGCTGTCATCGCAACGCACGTGCAGAGAGAGAGCGGGGAGAGACCATGGCTGATGATGGTGGTGGCTTGAGCCCTTCAGCAATGGAGTGACCATGGCTGATGATGTTTATGATGATGATGTAGGCTCCGCCAATGACGATCTGGGAAATTACAATGGCCAATCATGCACAACACATGCGGTAAAACTGTTTTGTTTTACCAGGTAAGGCCCCACTGAGCTATGTAGCGCTTTCAGAAGCGACCTGGCAATCACAAATGATGGTTCAACGAAGTGGCTGCCATCATTGTGCACGTGGACATTTATCGCAGTCAAATACTCTAAAGGCGTGATGTTGATTCTGAATGTCGAGGTAAAACCGGAGGACCTGGAGAAAATCCACATGACCACTACGGGGAGATAATGGAGGGAGAGACCCAGACTCCAAACATACAGCAGCAGGCATCATCAGGGTCGGGATCGAACCCACAGCCTCCTGATACCAGGCGAGGTAGTGAAAAATCTCGGACACCGTGGTGCACGTTACGCAATGATGGCAGCTGCCGTTCACCTCTCAGTGGTGGCGGCTATGCGGCCGTGGGTGGTGCTGATGCCAGGCTAGGTGCACGCCCCGTGTGTGTGTGTGAGTTCAGTTCCCATTCACAGCCAACACCAGTGACGGCAGCAATTATCTGAACCCGGTGTTGGGCCCTCCCGGAAATCTACTCAGCCTCAAATGAGTACCTGGTGCAGTGGTGGTGTGTAGTAAATATTGTCACTGGGGGAGACAAAGGCAGCTGGGTGTGCGTGATGCTGGCCACCCACCCCCTCGTGTACTTTCATAGGCGCTGCTACTACTCGCTATAAACAGCACTTGTCCCGACCGTCTGTTGAGGCTACCTGGGGGATCTTTGTCTTTGTTTCCACAGCTGGCTCGCTATGAAGCGGTGGTGGACGAGGGGCGCACGGAGTAGGGGGGGGGGTGCAAGGCACTGGGGAATGCACACACAAACATAGACACACAGTCACACACTCGCTCACAGAGACACACACAGACACACTAATGCACACTCACACCTAGACACACACACGTGCACGCACACACTCTCGCGCACACACGCGCACATCCACGTGGTTATGGGTATGCACATGAAACACTCCCTTTCCTCCCACGCTCGCTACTCTCACATTCCAACACATAGGCAAAGGTCCCCCGTGTAGCCCGCACTGGCTGTTGGTGAAAGTACTGCTAGCGAGGGGAGCACCCACTAATACCCACCCAACCCAACACTTGGTCTAACACTCAATCTAACACCCACCTAACCTAACACTCGGTCTACCACTCCACCTAACACTCAATCTAACACTGTCCAACACCCATTCATCCAATCCAACACTCAGTATAACACCAAATCTAACACCCACCCAATCTAAGTCTATCACCCCAGTCACACTTAGTCTAACACCACCTCCTGCCCGTCTTCTCCACCTGGGTTCCTTTGGTGTTACTGGGGTGGAGTCTTTGCCGTGACCGGGGTGGGCGGAGTTAGTGACTTGTGGGCGGGGTTAGTGGCTGGTGGGTGGAGTTGGTGGCTGATTGGTGGGGTCAAGTGGTTGGTGGGCAGAGTTGATGGCTGGGGGGGGGGGTGAGGGGCTGATCATCGCACTGAGTTCACATATTTTTTTCAGTCCACCCTCTGTGCGACGACGATGACAACAGTGCGGGAGAGAGGAGCAGAGATAATTATTTGTTGTTACAATCTCTGTCCCTGTTTTGGAGTGTTTCATTAAAGGAAGTGGTTTGTTTGAATGAGAGCCGTGGTGGATTCCTTTCGGGGGGGGGGGGTGTTCGGGGGCAGAGATAATTCTAAACTACTGAACTATAAACTCTTGTGTTAGCAGGTGAGGCCCACTGAGCTATGTAGCTCTTTTTCAGAAGTGACTTGGCCACCATTGATAGGTCAACGACGTGGCTTATGTTGAAATGTATAGCAGCCAAATACTCTATAGTCGCAAGTTTCTAAATATGGAGGGGATAACCGGAGGACCCGGAGAAAAAAATCCATGCGACCACGGAGAGAGATGCAAACTCCAAATATACAGCAGGCGTCAGGGTTGGGATTGAACCCATGACCTCCTGTATACCACGCAAGGGAGTTAATATCTGGCCACAGTGGCACCCGCAGGTGGGGGGTACAATAGGAATACATTGTTACACAGGGGCCTTCACTTTGTCTTCTTGGTTTAAAATAGCCTTTAAAAGGTGGACTGCGCCCTCCCTAATGCGCCAATCAGTGGTTCTCAACCTTTGAAGTTTGTTTCGACCGCGTACCTCCCCTTGCCTGACCTAACATGGTTCTAAACAATACATGTGTAGTGAGCCACTCGGAGTCACTAATCGTAGGAGGCACTCTATTTATTACAGCCTTCACAGGCACAAGGGTTAACTACATTAGGGCAGGACAGCTAACAGGCTGCCTGACTTGCAACGCCGGTAAGGTGAAGACGGTGACGAAGACTCCAGCCGCATGACAGTTCCACCCCGAACCCTCGCTCGGGGTCCTTTATACACCCAGCGTGGCTCCGCTCCGCCTTTGGCCATGTCCCCCTTTTAAAATCCACCAGAAGGTTCCCGGGCTTTACCACACGTACCCCCTCTATCCCCCTTGCCTCACATCCCTCTCTCTGGCTCATGACATCCTGCTGGCAGACAGAGATGGATTTGTGCTGCAATTCCGATCCCCTTCTGTGCCAGCAATCAGTGCTGTGCCACAGTGACACATTCCATGTCACTACATCATCCCCCCCCCCCCCCCCTATGAAAAAAATCAGCCGTCCCGGCTGACCTCCATACCTCGTGTCGCGGGACAACGAACACAACAATAGCAACCGTCATCCCACCCGCCAGTTGTTTTAACGAGGATAATAAATAACCGGAACAAAAAAAAATCGCGAACACACGGGAATAAACCCGGCCCCCAGGAATATACAACACCCAACGACCGTCAGCGTGCCGCAGCCCACGAACACAGGAAGGACCTCAGTTCAACCGACAGCCATAGCCTGGCTCTTGTCTGCGACTACCTGCCAGACGGCGTTAAATAATAAATAGGAGAATGGGAAGGGGTGGGTTATTTGAACCGAGCAGTTTTAGAATGCGTCCTTGTCGCTGGGCCCCCAGGTGAGGCAAGATTGGGTTTCCTGGGGACCCCGGGGACGACTTGTAAATGGCCTAACGGGCGCGGCCCCTCCCGGGAAGAAGATGAAGGGGGAGAAGAACCAGGTGGCAGCCGTTCCGTCCTCCCTGGCGTGCCTATGGATGGCGCCGCTGGTGGTTCCACGGGTGTCAGGCGCTGGGATCCTGATGGCGTAAGAATAGAGTCTCGCTGAGGCGCAACCTCCGTGACCGTACGCCCGGGCACGTCGGACACATCAGATACCCGGCCTTCAGGTAGTGGGGATGAAACGACCTCGCAAGGTGAGAAATAGGATTTCAGCAATGACGGGTGCACATTCCAATGCCTGCGACCGACCTGGATCCGCGCGCACTGCGGCCTCCTGACCTCAATCACCTCAACCGGGCCCTGCCATGGCTTATGCAATTTAGGGGACGTGCCCTGGGGCACCTGGGAGCAATGCAGCCATGCCTTGTCCCCAGGTTTCCATGGGTTTCTGGATCCCCGGAGCCTCACAAGCTTTTCATTTGTGGCCTGCCGTTTTGCCGAATTCCCCCCAGACGCCTCCCGCGCTTCCGTCAATCGCTTGAGGGTAAGGTGCATGGGCATGGGCACAGCGACCTTTTTGCCCGGCCCCATGTCTAACTGAGCCTCCATTGGGGGGTCGCATTCCCTCCCATACATGAGGAAAAAGGGGAAGAACCCGATTGAGGCGTGAGGAGCCGTTCTGTACGCAGCGAGAACACCTGGAACGTGTAAATCCCAACCGGACTGCGCCTCGTTGACCTGTTGGCACAGCATGGACTGCTTCTTTGCAATCGCTCTACCATCTCGTCAGTCTGGGGATGGTAGGGTGACATCCGGATTTTTTTTAGTACCGAGGGAATCGCACACATCTTTTAATACTTTAGATGAAACATTCTGGCCCTAGACCGTAAGGAGACGTTCCAGGGCCCCCTTATCCAAAACATACCCATGCAGGAATGCATCCGTGATGGACGCAGCCGATTGATCTGGCAAACGCCATGCCACCAGCCACCGGGACAGGTACTCCACCCCGACGAGCAAAATATTAGTTTCCCCTCGGAGTGGTGGGAAATGGTCCAAGGATGTCGAGATCAAAGAGCTTCACCATTGGAACCTCATTTGCCAGTAAAAAATATGATAATTGTTTTTTTACCCTTCTATCTTTTTACTGGCAAATGAGGTTCCAATGGTGTAAATGCTTACCCCGAGCTATCGTACTCTGATGGTGCATTGTCTTTGAGTTGTGTGCCTTCTGGCGTCATTTGGTCCAACCCATGTGAGACTAGGCTCTAAGGAAAGCTGTCTCGGGTGTGGACCAATAAACTTTAAAGACAGTGCATATATTATCAGGGTTATGTTTTTTGTTTGCATTATGACTGCAGGTATTGTGGTCTATGCAAACATGACTCCTTGTAAAAAATGTCTCAGTTTTGTTGCCAGATAGAAGGGTAAAAAAACAATTATATTTTTTACTGGCAAATGAGGTTCCAATGGTGTAAATGCTTACCCCGAGCTCTCATACTCTGATGGTGCATTGTTTTTGAGTTGTGTGCCTTTTGGCGTCATCTGGTCCAACCCATGTGAGACTAGGCTCTAAGGAAAGCTGTCTCGGGTGTGGACCAATCAACTTCAAGGACAGTGCATATATTATCAGAGTTATGTTTTTTGTTTGCATTATGGATTTCAGGTATTGTGGTCTATGCAAACATGACTCCTTGTAAAAAAGGTGTCAGTTTTGTTGCCAGATAGAAGGGTAAAAAAACAATTATATTTTTTACTGGCAAATGAGGTTCCAATGGTGTAAATGCTTACCCCGAGCTCTCATACTCTGATGGTACATTGTCTTTGAGTTGTGCGCCTTTTGGCGTCATCTGGTTCAACCCATGTGAGACTAGGCTCTAAGGAAAGCTGTCTCGGGTGTGGACCAATCAACTTCAAGGACTGCATATATTATCAGAGTTATGTTTTTTGTTTGCATTATGGCTGCAGGTATTGTGATCTATGCAAACATGACTCTTTGTAAAAAAGGTGTCAGTTTTGTTGCCAGATGGAAGGGTAAAAAAACTATTATCATCAAAGAGCTTGTTAACACAGGACACCTCGATGGACTGCAACAGTGGCCGGGCCTGCCTCAGTGGGGGCTTCCAGCGAGCGCACTCAACACAGTCCTTAAGAATATTATGGACATTCTCTGACATCCTGGGGCAAAATAAGTCGCGCTTTAGGGTTGATAAGGTTTTCTGCACCCCAAGGTGCATCGCACATGGATAGCCCGTGTAACTCTACCCCGCAGAGCAATCTGCATGACGATGCAGTAACGCTGCACCTCCACGTCCCACCTCATCAGCAGCCCATCACGGAGGACCACGAGGGACATTCTACCACCTGTCGCTCCGACGCGACACCGCAATTTTAAGAGGGAGGCATCCTCCATTTGGAGGCGTCCCCATTCAGTGTGCGTGAGACCAAGCGTGTTATCACAAGCAACGGTTCCTGTGGGTGGTGAAGTGTCAACCAATGCCAGGACGGTGCACGGCAGTCCTGCAACCGCAGGTTTACAACGGCCGGCACCCATCAAACACGCACACTGACTCTTTGGTGGCAATCGCGACAACGCATCCGCATTACAGTGGCGTGTACCCTTCCTATAGGTGACTGTAAATAAATAATCCTGCAAAATCTCCAACTATTGGGAGAGCTGGCCGGACGGCTTGTCAACTCGCAGCGCATATTGCGTACAACAAACTGCCTACCGTAAAGGTACGGACGGTATTGCTTTACAAAGTTTACAATTGCCAATAATTTGCGGTGCATCACATCCTACCTTCACCACCTGTGATAACACAGCGCCGATTCCGGTGTCACTGGTGTCTGTGTCCAGCACAAATGATAACAAAAAATCAGGGTACCCAAGGGGAGGTGCGTTTCGCGATCGTTGTGAATGATCGCGAAACCGATAATATGATGTGAACCCAACAAAACTGCGAACTTCACCTACTGAAGTTGGGGTTGGCCAACCCTTGCCAGGGGTACTGCTCTGCCCTTGGGCTCTTCTCTTCAAGAGGCTTCTTGTCTTCAGCTGGACGACGACTGCCTCGGACCGTTCAGGGGTCAGGCTTTTATGCAGGGCCGTTGCTCGCCCCGCCCCGGCCCGGCCACGCCTTCCTTCCCGAACCTTCGAGAAGGATCTGGGGGTGATGTCATCCCCCAGCCTCCCTCCTGGGGTCTGGGGTCTGGCCCTTTAACATACCGTTCCATAGGGTAACCATTGGGCCCTTTAGCCCCTCTGTTGCCCCCTATCGGCATGTGGCCGGTACTGCCGGCAACTGCATGGGAACGGCGCATCTTAAGCCCAAACACATTCCTGCGGAGGGAGCTGGTAGAAACGTTGGGTTGCTCGGTCAATGGCCAGGGTCAACGGCGGCGTGGTGTATCCCGCAAATATGGCCGACTGTGAGGGCGGGCACAAGCCGGCGTGAGTAGGTTAAACATTGAGTTTTATAAGGGCACCATGGGGTGACCAGCCCCTCCCCACCCAGCCCCACCCCTCCCACCCCCCACCCAGCCCCACCCTCCACACCCTCCCCTCCCCACCCAGCCCCTCCCC